CCTTCCATCTCACAGCTGCCTGAAACCTTGATGTATACAGTCGTAAGACGAGGCCCTGAGTTATTTGCTGGAGCACGAGTCACCTCAGCAGATGATTGTTGCCTTAATTCAACCGAATTGTTCTTCCTCTCTCCTTTCAGACACACGTTCGCTGAACCCTCAGGGCCAAATGAAAAAAAATCGAAGGCATGTGACCTGCAGAGGGATGGAAGACTGGCTGCGATGGTGTGTTCGTGCGTGTGTGTGTAGCTCTTAAAACTCAAGGGAACATTCAATTGGCCCTGAGTTCATGAAACAGCTTGTTTCCATTACATTAATACAGTGGATTCATCAATCATCAGATACACTTGTTGCTCATTTCTTGTAAGTCTGACAAAGTAGCTGCTGAAGGAGCGTTTGCTGTTAACACCACCCTTGCTGTTACCAACACTAACCACAGGTGTCGCTGCAGTAATGTCTACCTGAGCAGAGAATGAAGCCACACTCCCTCTGTGCGTGTTGTAATCGGAGCTTCTCTGTATTTTGTTTACATCGCCGGGCCAGGCACACATGCTTTTAGTACATGTTCGTGCATGTGAACGGTGCCGCTCTTCACTGCGCTCCTACAACGGTTACAGCCCACCACAGTAGCAGAAGTGTAGCAAGTTCCCCCTCAAGTAAACACTATTAGCTCTGTCCGCACTGGTGTCGTTGTTTGCACTGTTAGCTGCAAGCAGCCGACTCTGCCGTTGCCTTGTTGAGAGCCGTTAAGAGCTCCCAATGTAGTCTATAGCATCTTTAAGTTGTTAAACACTGTCAGTCTGCACAGACAACATTACATCTTTTTAAAAGGCAGCAGTTCTTTGTTTCTCCACGTTATCACAGGGCCTTTGTGTGCATTGGTAGAGCACATGGCGGGCCTGTAATGTGTTGGTGACCCCTGCTGCAAGACAAACTAAACAGTCCAGTGCTGTAGCAGCAGGCCAGTCAGCATCTGAGGCCACACAGCCAGGCCGCATGAGTCACAGAGTCCTGAGCAAAACCAAAATGTGTAAAAACTTCACGTTGGCAGATTAGTTTGTTTACATCCTGCACTGGATGTGATTTGGCCGTGCTGCAGCGAGACACAGCCAAAAAGCCTGACTTCTCTTTCCTCCCTTTAACTCGGCCCTTCACTGCCTCTTTCCTTCATTTGCTTTCTTCATTCCTTCTTTTTTTTTTTTTTTCCCCTCCTGACTATCTCCACTTCATCTCTCCCTCTCTCACCGCTGCCAAGAGCACATGACCATGAGGCAGAGTGAAGTGGAAAAATAGAGCAACCCTGCCCTTGTAAAAATTTTTAAATGAAGTTAAAGGAAAAAAAAATAAAAAAAAATCAGACAAATTAATTACAACACCAAACAGATGGGGAAGTTGTATTTCCAGAATAAAACAAGACATTTGTAAAAAAGGAGGAAAAAAAACCTTTCCACCGCCATTAGAGTTTGCCAAGCTATGAGCTCATACTTTGTAGGCCCTCTGTTGAATATCTATTCAAAGCGTCAGCTCCAAGATGTCAGACTTTTACGACCCATTTCTCCTCTCGTTATCTGCAGCAATATTTAGGGGCCTGCTAATTTAACGCTGGAAATATGTAAGTGTTTCCTGACTTGGAAGCAAACTTGTGTACATGGGGACTGATTTAAATGCTTCATACTTCTTCAAAAGTAGAATCGACTGTGGCTGCAGCTTCGTGTGCATAAGTGGGTGTGTTTTTCACACCAAGCTAGAGTATACTGACGAACAGGTCAGCCCGGGGTAACACACACACACACACACACACTGTCGGTGGTTTTGAGGTCATAACTGGCACAGCTCTCTGAAAGTAGTGTTGTCATATTTGCGTCATGGCATACTTTTAGAGTTATTGTCTCTCTTCCTGCCCCACCTTCATCTCAAAGTAAAAAAACGAATTCATGGGTCTCTCCTCTAAATCAAGAGCTGCATTCTACTAATGTTGGTGAAACCCTTATATCCTCCCAGAACGTTCTCATGTCATGGCAGAAATTCCCACAGTGGGGGCTACACGGTGCACCAACAGGTTCACAATGGGCTGAAAGCAACAAACAAAGTGAGTGGTGTACCCTTGTAACGCCTCTGCTCATTCACACAGGTGATCTGAATTCTCCCCAATCAGGGAGATGTCTGTACATGCCCACAGAGTCCTGAGAAGAGGTCTCATCAGGTAAACTAAGTGAAAACAGCTGTGTGGGTGAACCAAGGGGAGGCAGTTTAAATGGTATTATACGTCCTGAATTCAGGATTAATGCAGACATTTCACAGACACATGTGACAGTGAGAGGTTAACCTATTCTAATGAATACCCAGCATTGGTTCTTTCATCTTTTCAACACCCTATTAACCCTAAAAATATCAGCTGTGTGCTCTGATTTTGCCATTCAGTGTAACTGGGATTGTTGACCTGGACGTTTGCCTTCACGTGGACACCAATCAACACAGTGTAATTGTAACCACCTGAAGGTTCTGAGCCCCATCAGGCCCAAACAGCCAGCTGGACCTCATTGTCCCATTATGTTTTGCTGCGGTACAGGATTCAGAAAGATAATTTATCACAAACATACGTTAGTGTTACCGAACAAAACAACATGTTAGTGATATTACTCCTTGTATAGTTGCATCTTTGTAGCCACTCAGCTGGTTTGACTTTGTGGAACTACTTTTGCTTCATGTATCGTTTTCATTATAATGTGGCTGGTAACCTGAGAATATTCAGAGGAAATTGGCATTTCAATGACCAGAACTTACTGTCACTTGCAACAAACATCAGCTAAATGCCATGAGTCATGTAAGACTTTTCCTCATGAAAAAGACTTTACGTAACTGGACAAGAGAGGCTCATAATTTGTTAATTTAATGTACTCTACCTGCCATTTTACCATGTCTGATTCCTAACCGGTGTGACTGAATGGAAACGTATCCGGAGGCTTTCCATTTACCTTTTTGTTTATTTGGTTTACAGGATTAGTGTGCATGCTGTAAATGTAGAGTTAGCCAAAAAGCTCATTTTAAACACTTTCTAAATGAAGTTACATTTAAATAAAGAAAACCTTTTTTTAATTTTTATTGAAATTGGCATCAAAAGCATGTGATGTTATTTAAACAATAGCTCACAACAGGCCGTGATATATTGTGATTATTTCACAGGTGGCTCAGCCCGACACGACGTGGAGGGACGACAATCCCCTTAGCTGTGATACGATCACAATATAATATCATGACATGAAATGAGCTATTGCTTTTATAAAACAGTCATCAAGTATGGCAACATCAACGTTATAGACACATTCTAATTAAAGTGTTTTTTTTTATTAAAAGTACTTTATTAAGGATTTAGAACATTAATATAGAGCAAAGCCGATGATATCATGGCTGTATAGAGAGAACTGAATATGCACTAGGAAGTTGATTTACCAAAAAGAAAAAGGGAAAAAGTATTGTTGGGCTCAATGGTCACTATGTATAATTGTCTTCAAAGCCGCTTTTAAATTCCTTTAATTGTAGAGAGAAACAATGCATGTAAAAAATGCTGTGGTCATCCATATATGTTATCTGTTGAAGAATGATGGAACAGAGGTAAAAATGTATAAGCAGCAAAAACAATGCTGGGTGGAAATTGGCGTAGCCTATATTGATAGCTTCTTCTTTTTCTTCATCTTCAGGTTGGTTTTGTGGATTTCGAGGTAATCGTGGTTTAAAATTCAGTAAACGTGATCCCGGTGAGGTTGGAAGGAGATATATACATATGAGAGTATGTTAGCACATCATTAACTAGCGTTAGCACTTCTGTGCTTTTGTTCCTTAATTTCATTGTCCTGTGTCCCAATCACCAGGTGATGTTGTGGTTCCCTTTACCATTGTGATCTGCAGGCTGTAGCTTCTATCTTTATCTTTTTAACCTGTTTCTGCTGCTGAATCAGTTTGACATCCTGGATAAATCCTTCAAAAGCATATTGTATATTGTCTGCTTCTTTCTGAATTTTTTTTTTTTTTTGCTTTTTCCAAAATGTAGATAATAGTAATGCAGGAAATGCAGTTAGTGGCAGTATGGGCTCCATCGTGACTCTAAGAGCTTGACAGAATAGAAGCGGGGGGCGGGGCTTTGCGAGGGGTCAATTGTGCTTCTACTTTTCCCAGATCAGTTATGACGTAAATGTCAAGGGCTTCATAAAATGCCACTTGGTGGCGCTATTGCATTCAGATCAGCCCAAAAGAACTATGGGTTTTCTTAATAACAACACATATTTGCAGTACTTTCCAAGACAGCATTATGGCAATGGTGATAGAACATTATGCTGTCATTTAACATGTCCTGTGTTTAAAAGTAATAAATGTATGATGTCAAAAAAAGAGGAAAACAATGTGTGAAAAGTGTTGCAATCCTCTCTTAAAGTTTAGAAAAAGGCCATGAGCTCACTGTTAATTACTGCAGACTCAGTCAAAGCCAGTAAGAGTTATAGGAATAGCTCTCTCTCGCTCACTCGCTCCGTGTTTGACTCCTACACATCGGTATCAACAGGAAAGAGGCAGCCAATGAAACTAATTGGGTGGTGTGTGTGGTTTGTGAAAAGAACAGCCTGTACTGTCTGGAGCTCCCTCCCACTACTCTCTGACTGGCTGGCTCCTAAGTGGTCTGCTTTTTTTCTCTCCACTGTGATTGGACTCAGGGAAAGCCAATAACTAAAATCTTTTTTTCCCCCCTCTTTTCCTCAGGACATACCTTTGTTGTTTTCAACTTTGGAGGCAGAGCTGGGCTGAGACGATTCAGCACAGTCACAGCCTGCACCCTCTGGTGCTGTGTTTGCACTCAAGTTGTACACGGTGTCCTGGGTTTTAGTTCAGCCACACACATCACATCATTTTATTATTAGACATATTACTAAATACCAGGTATTAGTAGGAAATAGAGTTCCTATTTGCAAAGTATGGGACTGGTGTAGAAATGCTTTTGATAGTTAGGTTCCCAGCAGTAAATTCTCTATTATTCTTACAATAAAATGGTAGTATCTGGTCACTTAAACCTCATTATAGAACATGACAGACAGTACGTTTGTTCATGAGGTTATTAGTGGGTAGATTGTGGATAAGTTATGGTAGTTTCTGATCCTATCAGTGCTGTGTCATTCCTCAGACTGAAGAACTCATTAAACATCTTTAATAACGTGGTGTATCTCCAGCAGGTCTTTGTGTAAGCGATAATAATCACTATGTGATCATAGTGATCATTATTGCTGTCTGCCAGTTTACATGGGCGGATCGCTTTAAACCTGAAGTGTTTGTTAAGGGTGGAGTCGTTGTGTGTTTTACAATCAAAAATAGTGAGCGCATGAATTTACTACACCAGCGTTGCTTTTTAACCAATCAACTTGTTCGTTGAAGAAGAAAAGAAAAAGTACAAAACACAGGATATAAAATCGATTATTAGGCTCAGTTTTGCAACAGTTTATTTCTCTTAAAAACAATAATGAAAATATATATTTACAAAAACGTTGCTTTGGGAAGCTATACATATACCCACAACAAAAAGCTCAACATAAATAAGTTAGTATACTTTTTTCAGTGTTTTTGAAAAAAAAAAAAAAAAAGGGAAAAAAGGCACACAGGTACACTTCAAAGTTTTACACCAAATGAGGCGAGTGTCACTTTGTTTTTCTGCCCTCAAAAAGGAGAAATTAAAAATAGTGCAATTACATGTTCCACATGAATTCCACACCACAAATACAAATCTTTGATTCACATATTTGCATAATAAGTAGCCCAGGGATTTAAACATATTTAATCTATGTTAACCTGGGCTGCACCACATATTAAATGGGGCAGATTATGTGACCCAAAAGGCAATAAAATATGAATTTACCTAATTCAAAAATAAAAGCTAATTCTTAGGATTATTAGCAAATACTGTTAAAATTTGGTTGGATATTGCTCAGCAGTTTTGCCACCCACCCCCCTCACCTAACCCCCGAACAAAAGGCACAAACTTTGGTAAAAAAAACAACTAAAATATAATAAAATTGTGAAAGAAAAATTTGGGGGGGGGGGAAAGGAGACCATATTTGCATGTAAACTTTATCTTTCATGAGTGTTCCCAGTTAGATGGCGCCTCAACTTACAGTGTGGCCATCTGGGCCTTCAAAAACAAGATATATATATAACACTGGGACAAATAAAGCCATAGAAAAAGTGAAGACATTTTGTTTCCACATAACCCTGACTTTTGAAATCTGCATTTTTAACTTACATCAATTACCTGAATGAATGATACAATATGACCACTTAAACAAAATAATATTTCTCTGTTGAAAATTGCACTGCAACTTCCCGAGTCAAATTCACACACTTATTCAAATACATTTAACAAAAGTATGAAAAGCATAATATGCTTTTTTTTTATGTGCTACATCTGAAACATAGTAGTAGATAAAAAAAAAAAATGAGCAAAAATCCATTTGCACACTGCTACATTGTCTGCTGCTTCTGAGGCAATTTAATTAAAATGAGTGCCAAAACTTGATAGTGTACATATTCAGTGCTTGTGCAGCCTCTCCTCCTCCCTTCTATAGGAACAGACTGCTTTTATATGTTCTCTCCCATCTGTCAGATGATGAGAGAGGCTACAGTATTCCACCAGCAACAGGTCTCCCCACTCTGTGGGACATGAAGAGGAAACAGGCTGTTGAATGGTGCAATTGAAAAAGCAGTTGCTCATGCTTGATATCCCTCATGCAGATACGCACACACACTCACACGCAGAGGGAGAACAGCCATAGCACGAAGGGGTTGTGGAAGATGAAAGAAAAACAAAAAAAACAAAATGAAAGTCTGGAGGGCTGATGACGTGTAAGTGTTGTGTGCAGGTCATAATTGCGTTATTGCAACAGTTACTGATGATAAACAAGTACATCAAACTCTATTGGCGTCCAAATTAACAGCCGAGCGTTAGTATTTTACGCATTGGAAACACGTACATCGACATCCATTCAAATTACTTCATAACAGTGGAATAGTGAGATAGTGATTTCTAACCTAGCACTGTTTTTCACTGGACCTCCGCGCTCTGCTCAGGCCTGCTGGGTCTCTTCTCCGCGGCTTTTACCGCCTGACTTCCTGCACCGTGGTCTTCATCATCATCATCTTTGTCGGTGTGCGACCTTTTACTCTGAGACTCGCTGGAGCAGGATCCTGACAGACAGACAACAACAAAAAAAACACACACACACGTAGAAAAGTTGTCAGGCTGTTTATGTGTAGAGCTGCACGTCCCCTTTAAAAAAAAGCACCTGATATCGTCGGAGAGAATACTTTACTACCGTGAACAGCCCGAGTTTAGTTTTTTTTAAATGTGAAAACTACAATGTAATTACTGCGCGACTTTGGTCCCACTACCAAACCTGCATTACATTGCCACCCTCAATATTAACATATATCAAATGACTTCAACATCTGTAATGATATTCTGCGTCCGCGTCTCGCTCCTGCACACTTCTATTTGGCTGATCGACCTATCGTAGCCACGGTTGAACCCCGGACACAACTGGTGCTTGGCGCCTCCGCATAGCGGCACAGAAATGCGCAAGCAGCCCTTCAGAGTAAGTCAAAGAGCCAAATCACCTGAAGCTCCCGAACCTCTTTTCCTCGAACCGTTTCGGTCTCGTTGAGCCGACCTCTCCTCCTGTCTCCCGTGAGGCTCCCTGACATAAAACTCCGGTGCGTCGCGGTCCTCTTGCCAGTCGTAATTGCGCGGAGAGAGCGGCCTGTCGTTGACGGGATCGAAGTTGTACGTTTCCGTAAAACCCTGCACATCTCGCTGGATCGAAGCCGCCACGTAACTCCGTATCTCCTCCGGGTCGGGTTTGCCGAAGAGGTTTCTGCGGACCGACGGTCTGGCGCTGTCCGGCTGCCGCGCATCCACCCTCTCCACCGTCGGGCTCGCGTTAGAAAGGCGAACTTCTGACATCTTGTTGCACATATGACAAGGGGGGGGGGGGGGGGGGGGGGTGAAATATACACAAACAAACAGGCAAACCCCCCTTTCAAACTTCTATTTCCACGTAGTATTCCTTTAAAATGATGCAAAGTCACGGGGATGATGCGTGCATACTCCGCGCGTATCATCCAAAACGCGTCCGCGCAACAACAAAAAAATGTGATAAAGTGTCTCCAAGGGCGCAGGGGCGTTTAAGAGAGCCACTCCTGTCAAGTCCGTAGTAAAGCTGATGAAAACAACAAGTCAAGTCATAACAGCCAACATGGCGTTAGGGGCAGCAATGAGTGAAGAAGAAAAAGTTGACATCAAGGACTATTTAAACAGAGAAGGCGATTCATTGGTCTGCGCACAAGGACCGCCCACTGGGCTCTCTTAAAGTTGAACAGGGCAACAACACAACTGGATTGGATCTAGTCTACACATGAATATGACCCAATTAATCTGTTGGATTATCTAAACACTTCGAGAACAAAAGGAACACAGGTTGTGGTTATAAATGGGTGCTCATCATGCTCTCCATTAGTACTTGATTTATGACAGCAGGCATCAGGTTAGACATGAGCTGAACACCGACAGGTCATAGATATCATTGGATCTCAGTAACTGTCATTTGTATCTCTGTGTTCATGCACAGTAAAACGTCTTGAATAAAAACAAAATGTGATAAGAGCACAATAATATAAACAGCTTTATCTCACTGCAGGAGTTTAGTGTGAGGTCTTGCTCCGGGCTGGTAATACAATCAGAGGAATCAATTGTGCGAGTGCTGACAGATATCGTTGCGTGATCTGATTTGGTGTCACTTAACTGGTTTAGGCAGGTATGTCCATTCAGCTACAATTTCAAGGCTATTTGGAGGCCAATGAGACACTAGAATGAGGGTTTTATGCAGGAACACAACAACAAAAAAGGCACAAATGTGCCTCCTGGCATCCGATGACATCAGCTCTCTATAGCAGAAAGCCTTCCGTCACCGTTGGCACGGTGCCTATCGCTGTCAGACTTTGCCAGTGGTGCCACGGAGGTGGTTTGTGTGCATCACTGGTTGTAATTGCTTGTGTGTGCTTGGAATTTAAAGGGGCACAAAGAGTGGTGCAGCTTTAAAAGAAGAAGAAAAAAAAAGACCTTTAAATTCACCACCATTTCCCTCTGGTGGGGTTTCCAGCTGGCTTAATTTATCGAATAGATGTTCTGTACATCCCAGAGCTGCACAGGAATCCGAGATAACGGCGTGAATGCGTCTGTAATAGTGAGCACTCCTTGTGCCCCAGGAGTGCACGATGTCCCAACTTAAACTGTACAGCGAATGTCGCTCTGCATTCCTCTTCAGCATTTGCCAGAAAGAAAGAAAAACAAATCACTGGGCCTGCCTTAAAGGCCATGCTGTTTCAATTAGGCCTGGAAACGTCAAACATCTCGTGATGAAAACAGCGAGGCCATCTGTTGTATCAATGTTATCACCGGGATCACACTTAATCCATAATGTGTTTATGCTGCTGCAAACCGTGCACGGTGTTGTACAGAGGCATCCCTGAGATCAGAACAGACTGTGATCAAGATGATTAAATGGCAAGCGAGAAATGGGGCGAGAGAACACTCTGTTTGGGTCAGGTTATACTGTAGAGTGTGTACTTTGAAAATGATGAAATGGGAGTAACTAATGATGCAACTGCAGCACATTCTGTCACTAAAACAAACAGTTACACATTCAATTTGATAACAGTCACAAAGCAAAAGAGAAAGAAAGGTCACGGCGTAATTATTTTTTATAGTTTGATTACACAGAAAAACGATGTTTTGACTTCACAGAAGTTAGCAGTGCACCGTCTGCAGAGATGAGAGTGATAACAGCGATGCACTCATAAAAAAGGATGTCTTTAGTTAGATAACTAGTCCTGTAAATGTGAATGTTTTCATGTGTTGCTGAAAAATAATAAACGTTTTTTTTCCTCGTAAAAAAGGTGTTAAAATATTGCACAACAGGCATTATTCATCAGGTACAAAGATAAATTGTAGGTGACTTATTAATTTTTCACTTTGCAAGAGCAGTGGAGAAATTAATGTTTTTAATCTGCCCAGCAACCCGTCTTGGAAAATGTTATTACTTCCACATCTTGAGTTGTAATAGTGGTGTTAAAAATAGTGCTGAATCGGGCTGAACAAGCGATGGGCCAAATTGAACATCCTAGACATACGGGATCAGATATTAGCAATGAACAGTTTTGGGGGGGGGGGGGGGGGGTTTGTTTAACAGGAAATTCGGAGCTACTGTTGGGCAACTGTGCACGTACATGAAAACAGAGTTGTATTCAGAGCCTTTTTCATTTGCTGCTTCTATAAAACTCTCTAGAAACAAATAAATAACACCCTGAAGACTGGACAAAAGCATGATCTCGTGTTGTTCTGATGTGTGGTGTTAATTTTCCACCAAAATAAAATCAATGGCAATACATTTTTCATATGCCGTTTTTGCAGTTTAGTTCAGTATGGGTTTGATGAAGAGTTCTGGTAAAGCAGCGTGGCACATTTGGGACTCTTTAAATGACCAAACGTTTCTCATGTTATGGACCTCTTCTCGTCCGATGTCACGAGACGACAGACTTGGAGCTCGGCTTCTTCTTGGCCAGCTCAGCCTGGATCTGAAGTGGGAACTGTTTCAAGTGCTTGTTCACACACTGCATGCAGAACCTCTTGGTGTAGAAAAGACTGCAGTCCTGAGAGCAGAGAAGAGCACAGTGCAGCGTCAATGCTCGGTTTTCATATCAGCAATGGATGGTTAGTCACATTTAGTCCAGATGGAAAGACTATCTACTTGAGAAGCTGGATCAACTGATTTCAAGGGCATCAGTCATGAAGTTCACCCAGCGCATATAAACGCCACATGATTGCAAAGTTATCTGAGGAAAACATCTAAACCACAGATGCATATTTTAATCGCCAGTGACCTACAAGTGGAAAACTGTCACAGGAGCTCAGTTTGGGTTTGATGAGGAGGACCCTGAGTATTTACTTTGTCTCTGTGGATGAGGATGTTATTTGATAACCTGAATTACACGATCACATATTTAATCTGTGGCAAAAACAGACTGAAGCAATTCGATTTTAAGACAACCTACCGGTCCAACACAAACACATGTGCTGCACAGGCTGCAGGTAGAGCCCAGAACAAGGAACTTTTCCTTGTCCGGACTGAAGGGGTCCTGGGTTACAAAACACTCCTCGAGCAGCCTGTTGGGCGACACAAGCAAACATAAATGCATAACTTAGGTTCACAAAGACAAAACAGTCGTGTGTTTCAAGACAGACTATACATATAACGGATAATGGCTGTAGGGTTAATTTCGCTGCATCTAATGTCGTAGCAGCTAGCTAACAGCGTTAGCTTTAGCATAGCTAGCTCCAGAGCACTAACAGGAGCGCTTGGCTTAATGTCCACTTACACAATGGCTCTGGTGTTTGGTGGTTTCTGGCCGTAGTAAGTAAAGGGGCTACTTAAATCACACAACTGGCATGTAAATGTTTTTTGAGGGGTAAGGCTTGTAGTTTGCTCCATCTTTCGAGCCGGGGAGCAGAAAAAAGTCACTTCCTGGTTTTCGCATTGAGTCCAGCCATGTTGTTTCATAACGTTTTAGCGCCCCCTAATGGACCGGGGATGCAAAATGCTAAGACCGTGTACAGATAAAGTACTGTATATAAATACAATTGTATAGTTTATCACAGTATTAGGATTCTTCAAACGAATGTGGGTTGATATATATTATTATAGAAAATATGAAAGTGTAGTGAACCAGCCGAAATTAATAACATGGATTATTTCCATAGTAAAAATATAATCCTTAGATAATACATTTTACAGCAGCCCTCAATATGCCGTTAAAGGAAAAGCACAGGTGTAATTAATCACATTACTGGCTTACAAGGAGACTTAAATAGAACAAAGCTGTCATTAACATGATTAGTTCCACCTGTGCTTTTCCTGCTATGACATATCATATGTGCAGTGAAAAATCTTAGCTAAGGTATTTGAACAGATACCATCAGACAGGTAAATAAGTCAGGGTATTAAAAGTTAAATATATCAGTTTATTTTAAACTACCACATGACGTGATTCATTTTATTGAAACAACAAATGTATTTCTTATTGTACACTACATGATACAAAATATAAACAGTTTTATTCTGACACGAAACAGTGTTACAATACTACATCGGGAGGTGAAGTGTAACGCAGCAAATGAGGCAACAAGCTCCTCTTTTTGAGGTTTTACTGTCAGCGGACACTTTCACTGTGGCAACTACATTCCTGTTATATTTACAAAATAAAACATAAACCAGCTTAACATATTATTGCGTTTGAGGTGTGCTGTCATTTTTAGTTTTTAGCAGTAGGTTAAGGATTAAAATAAATATATTACACATGAAATTACAATATTTTCAAATGATGGCTGCCATCAGTAGAAGTAAGGTTGCTTGATTCATGATGTGATAACATTCCCTGATCCAACACTGAATAGATGTCTGTTTTGTGGTGTGGTGAATGCATAATGTGTGATCAAAGTATAGGAAATATGAGCTCCAGCATTGAAACATTATGGCACATGATGAATACTGATGCAGGTGTTTCTTCAACCACTACACTCAAAATGATTGAGTGAGACATGGCTGATTTCAATAAGGTATTAATACACAATGAAAGGACATGACAAAGCTTAACCTAATCCAATTGATTTGAATTAACATATCACATGCACTAAATATCCAAAATAATAGGAATATTTTTATATTAAGTTGCCTATTGCACAACTAACATTTCAGTTACCTTTAAGGCTTCAAATGTTATAACTTCTCCAACTTCTCTGCTTCTTTTACCACACTTGAACTTATGTTCAAGATTCATATTTAGCATCAGTGCGTCCATGACTGCAGCAGTCATGTCCGGATATCTTTATTATGTGTACACCCATTTTAAATGTTAGGCAAACTTGCAAAGTCTACTCCCTATTTAGCTTTTGATCAGTCGGTAGAATAAAAGCTGGCATCCAGGACCCAATCCATAGCGATTGGGTGCTCTCAAATCAATGCATTAAAAAAATATTTCTACACAGGTTTGTTCCCCACTGTGTCTCCTTTCATTGAAGCAGCCACTCCACCTACATAAGCTGCCTTTCCACGGCAGATCCCAGCAGTGTGCAGCCTCAGGAGCTGCACGACATACTACTTACAGTACATTGATGTGCATGATAGTATCAGTAAATATTTATGAACACCCAGTTTTGAGTGGCATACATAAATATTAGAATACATGTCCCCAGTTCATGACCATGTGCTATCTACTCAGTACATGTCCCTATATATCTCTTGCAGGAGCGGGTGCAGCGACGTGTCCTCTGTCGTCTTGATTTCCTGCACCAACTGAGCGTGCTCGGTGACCAGCTCCCGGAGGTCGGCCAGTTTCTGCAGCAGTCTGGGGAAGAGGAAGTTGTCGTCCGGGTGGTTGGCCAGCAGGTGGAGCCGGAGAGCCAGAACAATGCTTTCCTGCAGCTGCTCTACAAGAGGCACATCCACCAGGCCTGGGCGATCTGGAGGGAAGGGATCAGAGAAACATACAAGGAGGATTCAGATTTGTTTTTGTGCAAATTTGCACCCTTTATGCACTTCAAAAATAGAATTGTCAGTCACCTCCGCAGCAGATGATGGCAGCCACAAAAAGGGCCAGGTCGCTGTCGTCCAGCTCCAGGGAGTTGAAGCGTGTGGCAAACTGGAATTTGGGCTCCATCATGTCGCCAAATGGCCGCCGCCGGCTCTTGAGGAACTCTCGGGTGATGAAGCCTCCACCTCGGGCCACCAGGAGGCCGTCTTTGTTCATGCAGGAGGCCAGGAGGGTGAAGAGGGCTTCATAAACGCCATACTTCAAGAGAGTCACCTGAAAGTGCAGGTAAGAAGGCCGAAGCATGACTCCGATGTGCCTGCAAATATTTTTTATGTGTCCGTAACTACATGAACACAAACCTCTTTGGTTCACGGTAAGTACACTACTTTTTCCTCTACTTATCACATGGAATCACGGCAGCCACACACCTGGTCATTCAGATCCAGGTCTTGGAAACCGGGCACCGCCTTGGCGAACTCCGTCAGCTCTGTGACCGTCTCCACCGAGGTGCTCTGGCAGCAGTGGAAGAGCCTGGCTTCAGCCTCCCTCTGCTGCAGTTCACCACACCCTGCGGCCAGAACCACATCCCCAGCTCGAACGCTGCTCTCGTGCTCCGGACAGTCACTGTTCCCCACCTGGGCCGCCAACGTCCTCTCTGCCTGCTGGAACGTCTCCATGTCGTGAATGATGAAAGGCTGCGGGGAAAGACGGAGGAGAAAACATCGGTCGGCGAGGTTATTCTTTATCTAGCAGAGATACATAATAAAGAAAATCATTTTTTTTACCGTACCGGCTTGCTGGTCTTTCCAGTGAGTATGAGCCGAGCTTTCGCCTTGTTCATGTTGAAGTTCTTCATGTAGGCCTCGTGGATCTGCCCGACCAGAGTCTTGTGGTCGGTCAGCATGGGGCTTGCCTCCTCTTCCTCCACCATCTTGCATTCTGCCTTTAGCTTTAGCTTCTCCGCCTGAGGCATGCGACCAAACCGGATGGCTGGTGAATAGAAACATTCATCATGAGCACAAAAGCGAGAAAAGTTTTCAAATAGTAGCTGTGTTAGTTTACAGAGACTCCACACAGAGACATCCGACATATCTTCACACACACACACACACACACACACACACACACACACACACACACAC